TATATATATATATATCTTCTCCTTTATCACAGGAGCCTCTACGTAGCCTAGGGTGACATGAATCTCTGGTTCATCTTTCTACTCTGCTCTTTGGTACTGTGTATGTGTATGTGTATGTGTATGTGTATGTGTATGTGTATGTGTATGTGTATGTGTATGTGTATGTGTGGCTGACACTCCAGTGATGCTCACCTCTGTGCTTTCTGATGGTGATCATGGGACTTTGCCAATAAACTCCTTCTCCCAGCGGATGCAGGAAAACACAGAGGTATCTTAATGAAAAAAATACATCTTTTTTTTTACAGCTTCTTCCCGTCCCTCTGTTTCTCATCTCCCAAATCCCTCAATCCCACTTTCATCACAAGCTTTTAACTTCATTTGTTGCTTTCTCTTCCATGGAGGCAGTTGCCTCTCCTGTACCATGCACTAATGTCATTATGTCCAGCACTTTGCAGTCAGCCGTGTTATCTCAGCACAAGCCGTGTCTGCGCTAGCTAAATTCACAGCTCGAACCCTCCAGAGGGACGTGGACCACACGGTATAATCTCCGCTCGAATGTGTCCCGGAGGTTTTCCTTCCTATGAGAATTGCATTTTGATTTTGCGAGGGATGCAAAAGCAGAGAACATTAGAAGCCAACAGTCCCTGCCCAGCTGTGGATGTAGCACGAGTTAATACTGCTGTGAGTACTAATGTGAGTACTAGTGTACTAAGGTGTAGCAGTCAGTAAGAAGGCATGGCTTGCAAATCAAATTTGGTTAATCCATCGCAGCATCTGTCTTGAGTTCCCCCGATGCTGACAGTTTGTAGAGCAGAGAAGATCACAGACCAGATCATGACTGGAACACAAACCCATCCTTGGTCGTAGGTATGACAATTTGAATAACCATACTCTGGTATATTTTAATTTTAAAGATCTGAATATGTGGTTTATGGCCACATGCACAATATCAATTCTCAAAACAACAGGTGTGCGGTGGAATTATGAGGAACCTGTAGAGAAGAATTTCTTCTTCAAAAACAACATTGACATTATAACCCTGAAATCACCTTGGAATCTGGCTCTGTCGTTTGCCATTGTTGACACCTTGTCTTTTTCTCTTAAACCGTTTGCTGCTGATCTGTCCGAGCCAGTTCAACAACCGTTTTTACATTAAGTTGTACATGCTTGTGTTTCCGTTCTTTGGAAAAACAAAGAGACTTTAATGGTTAGAAGAGCTCCATGTGACTACAGACGATTTATACAGACCAGTTCAAATCAAGCCAGTTAGTACCACATTACCACAGGGAGAAATTCTGGCAGAAATGTCACATTCAAATGATTTTGCTCATTATTCCTGCAAAACCAAAGCTTAAAATGAAGCCACAAATAAACCAATGTTGAAAGGCTACTTTTGTTCATTTTGACATTTTGAATCAGGAAACACAGATGTATTATGTTACCTTAGTAAGAGCTCTAAACTCCAGGACAACTCACCTCTGTGTCTGCTTCTCTTTATTATTAAGTAATTCAACTCTTTGTTTATATATATATATCACTCTAATCATCAATCAATATAATTATATATCACTATCTCAACATTGCTAATACTTTTCATCCTGCATCCTTTCATTGTGGACATAACTTGTTAGTGGGAAAGTGTGAATGGAGATTTGTTGTTGATTACTGGTTTAACTGCGGTCCAACAAGTCTGTGTTTTGTTTTGTTTTTTTCGTTTTTTTTTTGTTTTTTTTTTGTCTTTCACGTCCTTCTGCGAATATAAAAGCAGATTTTTTTTTTCTTTTTAATATTAGTCCAGTCGGTACGACAGTGGTGTTTGTCATCCTGCCTGGGCCACAGTATTTGTCTCCCTGCTGAGGTTGTCATACTTAAATGGAATGAGTCACGATGTCAGCTCAGTTCCTTTGCTTCTTAGCCGTGAAGTAAACGTCTTTGTTTTTGTGTTGTGTGTGATTAATGGGACATCAACCCTGATGTGGTCTCAGTGTGATACATTTCTGAGAATATGTGTGCGCCAGGGCCACACACATTATCAATGAACAAGAGCCCTACCGGAGGGAGACAGAGTGACAGAGAGTGGATGAAGAAGCGAAGAGAATTTATTTTTACTGTCAGTATTGTGATGTATATTTACCTGTGGTTTTGATGATGATTGCTTCTGCGAATCCCCTGAGTGACAGGAGAGAAAGGGCTGCAGCCACAGGGATCTAATGTGATTACCTAACATCAATTTCATGCTCTGGGACAAATGGAAGGCAAAAGCTTTTTTTCTCTCTCTCTCTCTCTCCATACAGTTTGAAAACTACATTTTCCTTTGTTCTGTCTTGCCCAGTGGTGAATAAGTTAAAGCAGTGTGGGCAAAAGGCAATTTTTGTGTTCATCATCATAACAAGACAGCTCTACTTATCTGGGAATGGAGTGCTCTGTGAGGCTCAGAGACTAATTACACAGAAGAAAGGGAAGCAAAATGAAACAAAATTATGGAACAGTGTGTGAGGTATTCTGAATAATGGAACGAGATGTAGGGACATCAGCGCTGCTGTTTGTCACTAAAGCGCTGACATTTAATTCATGTAACGCACGCAATACGTCTTTTTTCAAAGCAGTTTAGCCACGTGTGTTGGAAATGTTCAATATCTGTTTTCTTGGTTATGCATTACTTATGAGTCATTGAATACATTAAATGAGGGCAGATTTGGGTTCAAGCCTGTTCGCTTCTTTGAGCGTCGACAGTGGAACAGCGAGAAGGTCCCTCTCATCTAAAAATTCAAGAACGGGGTGCATCCGGATTTTAATGTCATTCTGTTTGAGTTGCTCTGGGAGTAGACACAGCACCTGAGTGACCAAACTCTTTTGGCAACATCCTCGGAAAAAATGCAACTTTTTTCTGGTTTTTGCATAGTCAGAGAGACATTATAACAAATAAAATAAATGTAAAATCAGATAAACAAATAGGACACATTATGGAAAGAAATATTTTTGCCTCAAGACTAGAGGGTTTTCTTTGTAAGAGGTAATGGATCTGCTGTGTATCTGATCTGAACACACTGTCTGTCATCTGTATTTTGTATATCTTATCATTCCTCTTTAATTTCTTCTACCAGAATTTCATAATTGTCAGGTCTATCTGTTTCCTTTTCCTGCTGTCTGCTGTGTGGGGTAACCTGGGTTATCACACTCACCTGTGTCTGTAATTAGCCTCACTTGTGTCACCTGGTGCTCATTCTGTCCTGGTTTTTAGAATTTTGAGTTTTGAAATAAACTACCTGCACCAGTCCTGCATTTGGGTCCTGCCTGCTTCCTGCCATGTCGATGCCAACACGTGACAATAATACATGCGCGGACGGTGTCTTTTTGTAAAATGCTGCAACTGTTGTTGGATATTTTAAAGGAACATTGCGTGTGATTTAGCAACATCTTGTGTTGATTGAAAATCACTAAACTTACTATTCATGTCCAAAACAACTTTTTATTTTCCCACACTGGGGAAATGTACAGTGTCTCTGCACCCCTTTTTATAGAAAACCATTTTATTTTTGTCCGTGTGTTCTGCCTTGTTTGACTCCTGACCTCTTGTGTTTCGTTTCAGGTCCTTCACTTCCTGCTCTTGTGATGATCAGCTCCTGTCCTCGTGTGTCCACAAGTACAGGTGAGCCTATTATCTTTAAGGCACAGATAATTCCACCTCCAAAGAAAAGCCTGTTTAATTAGCACAATGTGTGAAAAAGAAAAAGTCACTGCTCCGGTTTGTATTACATTTTGAACCTTAATTGTCATTATCTGTCATTATTAGAGATTTTCAAGACAACAAATTGATACGTTAGCTTGGTGTTTGGTTTTTAAGCATTTTTAACAAGTTTTGTCTTGTATAAAAAGAGCAAGGTTTTAATTGTTTTTGTCATCAATGTTTTTTGTTCATAGAAAACATTTTAGAACATTCATCAAGACTTTGAATTTAATAATCCAAAGTCTCACGTTCATTCCTAATTTCCAGATGGACATTAAAGTGCATGCTGGGAAACATGACATTTGGTTTCACAGCACACATTTTCATCTTTTTCAGAACTAATTCATGTATAAAAATATAAAGACCTTGTTGCTAAGTCTCAGGCACTCAGGTCAATGACTCATTCATTCCTGCGTGCTTTTGATGCACTCTGCTGCGGGAATGTACCATAAGAGGGCCCTTATTGGACATTGGTGTCAGGCTGCGGCCATGAATGAAAGGAAGCTGAAACTAATGCATAAGAATTAAATCCCACTCCATGTCTCTGGTGGCATTAGTGTGAAGAATGTAGAGCCAGAGGCGGCCTCATGATGGAGTGTTCCTGGAAGACACTGCTGCTGCTGCTGTGTGCATCTCTGGCCGTCCAGTTCACGGCCATTCGTACCCTGAGGGACTCACTGTCTGGACCCTGTCAGGGAGGCTACAGGTGCCAGAGCAGGCATCACAGAGGTACGGCTGCACACTGTACTGCCTCTCACCAAGAGTGCTGGCACCAGACGACCAAACACAGGGACAAACTACACATGCGGTGTCAAACCAAGCTGTGGCACTACACTGTGACTCCGGTGGGGGGGGGGGGGGGGGGGGGTGGTGCAAAAGGATTGCCTCTAAATTACAGAATTCCCCCGATGAACCAAAGACAAATGAATTGTGTGACTCTTTTTACAATTATTCATGAAATGATCTCCTCTAATTTCCTCTCACTGCACAGCTGCATCTCTGCCAACGTTTGGCTCCTGTGCACAAAAGCAACATCCCAGATGCAATCAGCCTCACATCAGCAGTAATTACATGTTGGCTCTCTGCACTATATTTTGAGATCTCACATTTTATAACCCCCGCCTCCCCCTCCTGGATAATCACCAGCTGACAAGTGACTCACTCCTTCTTATTTGTTGACATTTTTTGCAATTTTACAGGATTTATTTTTACTGAATTCAAGACAAACTGACTTTTAATTATTATATTATTATATTATATGTATTCTGTGTGAAAACCACACCATTGTGTCCAGTGATCCCCAATGTTTTTTGTCCTAAAGACTGGTCAGCTGGTACTGGCCATCATTGCAGACCAGTGTTGCCACAACAATCATTAAAGGATCAGTACATTTTCAAAATAAAAAAGCTTTATTCTGTTAGTATTGGAGTCTGTAAGATTTATTTTTTTTAAATATTTAAATAAAGAAATTAAGTGAAAATGACCTAAATAAAATTAATTCTTTCACTGAGGCCAGCTGCAGCACGGTACCAAGTGACACACATACCGCTACTGGTGCATGGACGGGGGTTGGGGACCTCTGGTTTAGCCTCATGTCAATATGCTGTAAACTGGCATCTGTTTCAAGGGAAATGATCTGAAAGCATTTGATGTTTTTCTTATTTTTTTTTTCCATCAAGACTTAAGGTGGAGAACCTTGTGCGATGACAGCTGGTTTCCTGTGGAGCCACCCAGGAAGCATATCCTACTTTTTGCTACGACTCGCAGTGGCTCCTCCTTCACTGGGCAGCTGTTCAACCAGCACTCAGGATTTTTTTATGTGTTTGGGCCTCTTTACCGCGTCCAGCAGGCTTTCACTAACTCGAGCAGCAGGCTGCGTCGCACCTTAGACCGACGGGCGCTTCTGGGAGCTTACAGAGATCTTCTCCTCAACCTCTACACCTGTGATTTCCACTTTTTGGAGAATTACATTCGCCCTGAGCCACAGGACCACGTCACAAGTGCTTTCTTTCGCCGCAGCTCCAGCCATGCCCTCTGTTCCCCTCCTGTGTGCTCAGAAGAAGGGAATTCACCGCCCTCTGATGTACCTGATGAACTCTGGTGTCCTAAGAAGTGCGGGGCACTAAACCTTACTTTAGCCTCAATGTCATGTGTGTCTAGAGGCCATGTGGCCATAAAGACGGTGCGAGTCCCTGAGGTGGGGGACCTCAGGACCCTGACTGAAGATCCACGACTGGACCTTAAGATTATCCACCTAGTCAGGGACCCTAGAGCCATCCTCGCCTCACGCATGATGGCATTCCCCGATCAGTTTCGTGCATGGAAGTTCTGGAACGCAACGGGCCGCCAGCCTCGCTATGTTGACCTGTCACAAATCACCAGCACCTGTAAGGACATGGCCGCCTCTGCAAATACGGGTCTGCAAAGACCTGTGTGGCTTAGAGGTCGCTACTTACTGGTGCGGTACGAGGACCTGGCGTTAAAAACAAGAGAAAAGGCCTCAGAAATCTACAGCTTTGTGGGGTTGAAGATGGAGGACCGAGTGCAGACTTGGATCGCAAAGAACACTAACGCTAACATTTCGTCTCCATCAGAGTGGAACTACATGTACACCACCACCAGAGATTCGAGAGCGACAGCAGAGAGCTGGAGGCTGCGGCTCAGCTTTGACATTGTGAGGACAGTGCAAAATCTGTGTAATGACACTCTGGCCCTGCTGGGGTACAAGAAGGTGGATTCTTCAGACGAGCTCAGAGACCTGTCTAAAAGTTTGGTAGAGCACAGAACATTTCATCCTGTCACATGATGCTGTACATTTGTCTGATTCATAGATGTTTGTATTGATGTATGTGTTTGTATTTGTGTGTTTAAAACTATTTTGCAGAATCAAAGCATTGTGTGTTGTTTATCTTCATTTTTTTTTTTGGCTTTTTAGGTGGTTTTGACATACACAGTATGGTGAAATGTATTTTTCCTTTCGCGTCAATACTGTGATCATTCTGATACACTCTTTATATAACATTTTAGTTGAGCGTTTGAAATGGAATTTTGTGAAATCATTACTATAACTTGGTTTTCAAATAAAGAGACAAATTGTTGATGCTCAAAGCTTTTTAGTTTCATTACTCAAAAAGTTGAAAACCCTTTTTGGGTCAAATGGAGTGTTAAAAGGTACAGAGCAAACTTATAAAGATGCAAAATCAATTTAGGATTTAAAAACCCTTAAATGTGCGATGTGAAGAGAAGCGTCGTTAGATTTCAGAATAGCGTGAATATATTTCACGTGAATAAAACCACACAGTGTACAGGCCACACTTTAAAATGTAATTTAAATAAGTGTTTTTACAGGCATGGAGCCTGTGTTGGTGTTATATTTGAAAAAGGACTGCTGTGATATCCCCCTTCATGACATCACAATCAGGAACCATTACCTTCTGCAGCTAGAGTAATCTCTGGCTTAAACCTTTGGAGCCTGTCACCATGAAATGCATTATATTCAAAATCACCCAAAAGGTCTAAACTGATTTTCTTTTTCCCGTTATTAGCAAACATAGTTCATTCCTGCCAGGAAAACTCTTTTCTTGTCTTATCCCAGGTTCCAGGAAAAGTATTCTGAAGGCAGTTAGGACTTAAGGCTGACTTTGAACTTCTTGATGACACCACTGCTCGCCACTCCTGCCTTGTCAGCACTAGGGAATCACTACTGATGTCTGCTCAAAGCCCATCCTTTTGTCCCAGATAACCTCCTACCCTCAGCTCCAAGTTCAAGTGCCAAGCTGACAGCAACACTTTTTCCACTGCAGCAGGAACACATGAAACTAACAACCTGGTGTGTTGACCTTTTCAACATTCACCCCTCCATTCCCAGATTCAGGTTACCTTTTTTCATAAAGGTCCGCTTACTCATGAGTTTCCAAAGTCAATTAAACAACTACCCTGTGACATGAAGCTAGTGGGAATCCAGGAAGAGTCATGTAATCTTCTAATCCCTACATTGTTATACAGTGGTCCCTCTCCAATCGCGGCAGTTAGGTTTCAAGAACAACCACAAAATGGGAAAAATTGCAAAGTAGAGGCAAGATAGTTATTATATTAGTTATGTATTTACCCTTTAAGAACCTCCCCCACACTGTTATCACCCCTCCCTAGACTGTATTACCCTTTCCCACACAGTTATATGCACAGTAAATTTGTATAATGGAGATGCAGAGCGAAGTGAACAAGTGAGTGGCCGACAGACGGGGGTCTGACGGATGCTGAGAGATGCTATGATGCATAAGCCAATCAGCATGAAGAACAGAAGAGCATGTTCAATTAGCCAATAGTACGCCGAGTATGTGTTGTATTAGCCAATGGTATGCTGTGTACGATCTCGTCTAGGTAAACAGAGCTACCAGCGATCGTTCGCAAATTTGCTTATCTCAAATTCAAAAAGAGAATCCACATTTTTAAAGGCAAAAATTATTTTATAATGTCTTTTAGTTTATTTTTTGCTATATTTCGAGATATAGCGAAAATTACACGAGATCGGATTAAAAGAAAATCAGTGATACTGAGGGAGCGAATGGTGAACCGCAACATAGAGAGGGGACACTGTATTCACCTTAAAGGGTCCGTCATCAGTATTCTTTAGTAAGTAAGTTTGTTTGAAAAATACCCAGGTTGCCCCATGATCTGTGCCTGATCTGTCAGAGCCCAATAAAGACAACTCTGTGTCCAAACACATGAAGCACGCGCGCCCTCTCCAGATACCAGACATTTTATCTCCAGCTGTTCTACTAAGATAAATGATGTGAGCAGTACTTGCATGAACTGTGATGAAAGCATTGAAAAATGACTCGTGGCCTGTAAACTGTAATTCTTTATCCTGGAACCGAGGCGTCACATTGACCTACAAACAGCATTGAGGTTTCAGATGTCATTTGCCAGTGAGAGCCACACCAAGGTGGAATGGAAGGACGGAATAAAAAATATAAGTGAAACACTCTTGTCCTTTCTTGAGCTGCATCATTCATAAAATAAAATAGTCACTTCAAAATGTACAATTATAACCTCACGTCCTTCATGTACCTGCCCTGTAGCTGCTGACGCCACAGACATCTTAGCTCTTCCCGATTATCGATCCACAGATGTGGCTGGAGGAAAAAGGATTTAGGATGCATGGAGAAAAGAGTGGCTGTCTTTCTTTGAACTTAATCTGCAGGGCTACACAAACTGGCCATAAAGCAAATCTTTATGACACGCAGGGAGATGTGCTTCATCGGTTTTTCCATCCTCCACCCTGACGTCCAGAGCTCCAAGTGGCCTGAGTCAGCTGTCAGCTAATTACCTATTTCTTTGCACTCAATACCAGCAACTCCTCTCTGTCTCCTTAACTCTACTGATAAATTTACAGTCCAGCCTGTAAATACTGGCAACAAATATAGGGCGCCTGTGGATATTGGAAAATGCAAAACAGCACAGTTCATCTCCTGGATTTCAGACCTCTTTTGTCCAGTGGATTCAGAAAGTCCTTCATTGACATAATAGACTCAGTTCCTTAAATCAAGATTCTTTTTATCACACTTTTTTTTTAAATGTACTGGTTTATGAAACTGTTTATTAATATATAATTATATATTGAAAAGTTAAAAAAAAGGTATCAATTTAATATGGAAATGCTTATTTACAAAATTTTGTATAGATCACAATTAATCATGATGAATCACAATCGCAATTTCTAATGATTAATCATGATTAGTTGATATATACTGTATATAGTTTCTCTTTGTGCTTTAGACAGCATGCCTGTTGGATATTGTTTTTCTGTAGTCATGTAAACCGCTTCAACCCTTTCAGCTCTTAGTTGTGCCACTTCAAATCACCAGTTCTAACCGGTCGTCCGTGAAGTGGAGCTGCTTCACCAGCTGCAGGTGTGTCATCATCGTTCTGTGGCTCTTTATGGGCCATAACTGTAAAATTTTGTAAATTGTCGGTTCCATGTTCCGTGCATATCAAACTGGCATGTGACAGCATATTGCGGTTAAAGTCACTGGCCGAGTATGCATACGTTAACATACGTGCATCTGCACTTTAGGGATATGACATGGATGTGGTTGTAAGTGGGTTTGCAAAGGTGACACCCAACGCCAAGGAGTCATTTCTGCCACGCTCTGAGCTCCACAAATGGCCCTCCTTTAGAGGAAGCACTGATTTTAGAAAGGTTACAGCCTGCTGGGAGCAGAACACACAGCCCACTGACAGGTCTGTCCAAATTACATACAAAAAAGTATAGTTGATAACTGCAGATAGCTACAGGCACACATGCCACATGAATAGTTCATCACTGTGTTGCTCTTCTATTAAGCCTTTCTGAAGTCTAGGTTTCTACTCTCCGTGTTCACTTACAGACTGTTTATGGTATTTTTATATTGATAATAAGAGGAGGCTTTCATAGCACACGTCAAAAGAGCAGCAGCTGGAGTTGCGTTCACGGCCACGCGTCTCTTCAGGGGAAATGAAATGTATAGGTGCGACAGTAACACACATGCAGCATAAAAGGAGTTTTACTATAAAGGCATCTGTATATTTGCAACAACATATTATGAATCTCAAGGACCAGAGTTATCCCTTCACCCTTAGCAGTGCGAAAACTACAAGAACAGTACTTCTGATCTTTTTTTACTTCAAAAGCTCTGTTTTAATGCCTGAAAGAAAATCACAATTTCAATGCCACATGGTGTTTACTCATTTCTTGCTATCACTGTCATTTATAATCTACTTACCACTGAGATCAAATGTTTTTTGAAGTAAGATCCAAAGTTAGATCTTTTGGATAAGTCAAAAAAATACACACACATACATCTACCTTCTGTTCCAGCAAGCTACAGCGAGAAATTGATTTATCTCAATTAATCATGATTAATCATAGTCATAATTTCGGTTGTTTGACAGCTTGTTTGTTTTTTTACTCTGGAAAACAGTTAACATACAAAATTATGTATGATTTATGATTAATTTTAAATGTAACACATGACAAAGTAAGTCATTTCCACTGTTGTTGTTTTTTTAAGATACAAAGAGTATTCACGAATTTGATTCTACTTCTCTACTAATCTGACATTCAGGCAACACTTTCAGTCACAGTCTGTCATTTAAATGAATGTATGTGTGTAAATTACAGCAACAAATAAAATGTTCTAAACTATAGCGCAGTGCAGTAGGAACGTATGATTTATCATGTTCTCATTTTGTCATCATTCAGCCGACGGTTGCGGTGAAAGCCTATATAAATATTGGTTCAAGTCCAATCAATAGCTTTTATTTTTAGTGCTCTTTCAGACTCAGGCTAAAATACAGAAAATGACTTTTACCTTCCATTCTCCACCAGGGCCCGCGCTCATCTGGAGAATCAGAACCTGAGGAGAGTTTTCCTCCACAGCGTTCTAATAAACCAAATCTTTTTTTTCAACTCAGACATTTTATATGTGGTCACTGGTCCATTACTCACTTGCTTGCTTTTTTATCTCCTGATCTGTCAGGCCTCTCTGTCGGGCATTGCTTTCCTCTTTCACTTCCAGCTTCATTTTCAGAAAGCAGGAGACATGAAAATGATTTTAATTTCTCCTTTTCTCCTTTTTTTTGTGAGCATAGTAGTTATAAGAGAAGCCATTTGAGTGGATGATTTGGCCTTGGGGAACCCCTGTGACAAGGTGGTATGACGACTGACCAGTGAGGTACGGTTCACACCTGGAGTGTGCACTGCCACTAATGCCATGTGTTATTGTAAAAAGTCTAATGTTATGTATGAACAAAAAAATCTAAATCTAAAAAGAACCTATTTCTATTCTAAAACTACAAAAAAACAAATCTTTAGTAAGTGACAAACTTGAACATATATTGAAAATAAAAATAAATTACTTTGAGCATATAGCTAATAATTAAAACACAAAATAGGGAGGGAGAGGGAACGTAATTACTCTTTCTAATCATCCGGGAACTGGAGACAATACTGATTGCAGTTTAACAAATGGATTTTCCACATCTTTGCCATATTAAAAACGTAAGCTTCTTAACAGTCTGTGCTTGTTGTTGCCGAAATCTTCTAGTACCGGACGCTGTCAGTAGGAAACAGATTTGGACTGCAGCCGCTTCAAATGGAGCCCCGTGTGTGCGGAGTCTATGTGGCCTGAAGTCTGTGATGTCCTGATGATACTGTTGTCAGGCAGAAACATCGTCGTCACGAGGCTTTCTAAAGATTCCAGTGTTGCAGCCACGTCATTGTCACCTGAACTGAATTCCTTTAAACCCAGTGACCTTTATGTACAAAGTCAAGTCCTATATATATGTATATATATATATATGTGTGTGTATATATATATATAAATATAAATATACCGTAAATATATATATAGTTCTCTTTGCAGAAGCCACATCCAGAATTAATTTTTACTGCAGCAAGGTAAATGTGTTCAGACACAGTGGGTCATGATTCCAAGGCTTTGTGGGTAAACCCATTACAGTGTCACAGCCGTTTATACTGCAATACTGCCCAACAAAGTTTTCACCCATACTACTGCAATATATATATATATATATATATATATATAAATAATCGTGACAAGAAAATGTGGGACTTTTTTAACATAATATAAACAATCAAACTTATTAACCAGTTATCTGGACTTTTCTAAAGTATTTTTCCACCATTACAACTTTTTATGGAGTGTAATGCATGCACACTTACTACATTTAATGAAATTTACTGTAAAATCAAATGTAAATAAAACATATTGTCATATTGGTTAAAGTTGAATGTGATTTTAATAAAATAAATATTGTATATCATGTTGCACTGTTGTGGAGGTTTCTTTAAGTACATTCTGTCTGCCTAAGTAACTCATCCTGATAGCAGTTTAAAACAGAAACATTAGATTAACTGATGCTAACAACTGATGAGCGTGCCCACTGGGAGCAGGCCCATCTGTCTGTGTCAGAGTAATTACATTTCATAAATATAATTAGAGGGGTCTGTTATGAGGGGGCCTGCAGTCTAGTCTACTGCCTGAGAATGAGTGCAGTCACATTAGCTAAAGAGACCATAGGTTGACTGTTGCACAACGCAGACGACGGTGTTGTATCTGATGAGTACTGAACAGAGAACCTTCTTCACGGGTGATCTTTAAATCTAATGGAGAGAGGAAGTCGCCACGGGCACCAGGGTTTGATGGATCTTGAAATACTCAGCTCTAGTGTCACTGTGACTTGTTTTGGGGTTTTGCTTTAAAAGACACAACTAGTAAATAACTGACAGATCGTCCTAGTCATTAGCAGTCATTATAAGTACTTCCTGTCCGACCTGAGCAAATTCAGGTTTAAGATAATGTTTTGCTGACAGGTCTATTACAAGAATCACATGCTGCATAGAAAGCGTCTAATTAGCTACTAAATGAGCCGAGCGTTGACCTAAAAAGCTGTCTCCATGGGCTGGTTAATCCCTGTTGATGCAGTTTGAGGTGTTATTGATCCGAAGGCCCATCAGGCCTTGCTCCGTAGGCATGTATTGACCAAAGGAGCTGATGAATTCCTCCATTTAAAAAACAGACTTTCTCTCTAGAAATATTGGGGGAGATGAAAAAGTATGAATATAATGACAGCAAAGAACAAACTGACGGGCTGTAGGTGATACAGAAAACTCATTTGAATGGGGTCTTGATAAAGACACTCATTTTCAACTCACAAGCTGGAGAGCGCAGTGGTGAGAAGAATTCCAAGGCAACAAAGCCACAGCTTACAGTCAGGTTTTATAAAACCTGGTGTGTTTATAGAGGAGGCAGTATGAATCTGTCATGAGTATAAAAGTCAACCTATACAAGAGGAGCACTCGCTCTTTCACTGTCATAATTAACTGATTCATCGCATTAATACATTTGTGAAGATATACGAGCACTGTGTATCCAATAATTCCACCATTCATTCACTTATCTACACTCTAACACATGCATGTATGAGAAAGAACAACTCATATAACATAACATTTCTTGTATGAAAAACATGACAGATCATGTCATCACACCTGGTTATATTTCAGTGGAGAATGTCAGCCATGGAACAACAGCATTGTGTGATGCATCTGCATTCATGTTGGACATGACACTTGGGATGCATTACGAAACTCATTTTTCCAGTGAGGTTCAGCTACATTGATCTTGTGGTGGCAGTCTGAGCCTAAAACGTAAGCCAATACTAATGTATGTGATGTATTGTGTGTATTCCGGAACTTGTCTGAAAAGAAATTTAAAATTCATTATGGGCAGGACTTTTTTTTCTCAAACTCTGGAAATCAACAATAGTCGATGAAGGCTATGTTCACAGTCTCGGTTTCCTCCCTGTTGTGACGCAGATAACGTATCTTGATGAATTTGAACACTAAACCAATAAAACAGCAGTTACTGGCTTAACTGGGCAAATCACATTTTTCAAGGACCCTCATCAAATTGTAGCTTCTGTGTATAATCGGATAAACAAAATGGCAGATACGGACCACGGAGTGTTTGAAAACTCTCTGCAGCCCGCATAAAAAAATATTGATTCTCTGAAAGAGATACAAAGGATGGCCTCGCATGCACGTGGCTGTATGAAAATTTGATTAAGATGATTGAATCTAGTGTCCACTGGATGATAATGTCTTTACTGGATCAAACCACTTCGCTGTGCTGTTGTTTTGCTGTTTGTGTGCAAGGAAGCAGAGTTTAAAGATAGTTTTTATTTTTTATTTTACATTTCTGTTGGCAGTGAAATTAAAAATATATATATATTTGCTTGAGTTTTTAATGTAATTTTTTCTGAAAGAATGAATTGCTGTTAGTCGGAAAAATGTTGCTGTTTCATCACTTGCCAATAATCAGAGGTTAAGCATGAGTCGACAGAAAGACAGATTATATCTGCACCCATCTGCCATGTGACCAAAGGTTCATGTAGGAGATGATCCAGGGATATGATTTTGTCCATGGCCATAATCCTTTCTAAAAAGGGTCTTCTGAGATGCTGAGTATGTCTCACCGCCTCAGGCTTCCCCAAAAACATTGGGATTTAAATAAAACTGTCTCATAAACTGCAGCTTTACAGATATGAGCCCACATACAAAAAGTCAAAATATTTGTCACTGTCTGACACCACAGCAGCACATTTACCAGCACAATCTAATATGCAACACATTTGGGTTATTAATCAGTCTGCCCGGAGGAACACTGAGTAAAAAACAACATTGATCTGGAGGAGCAACACAGCGCTCCATCATCACTGACTGACCATACTGACAGGGAACAACTTGACACATTATTTACTTTAAGAAATGCAGGAAATAAAATGGGATTACAAAAGGTGAATTTGACCATTTGTTGTTTGAGAAATGATGTCAAGTCATGTTGACAGAGTGAGATTGAAAGCTATTGAGTACTCTCCAGAAATTAGAAAGATGATTGAGTGTGGTTATCTCCGCCCTCTGGTTTACTTTCAGTCTGTATAAATGTCTAATGAGGTCACTTAAACAGTATAAGGTACGATGTAACAGTAATGTCCTGGTATAGACCGCATCAGTTTATTGATTTTATAATTGATGTTGGATTTGTACCCTGTACAGCCAGACACAGTCCATTGTATCCAGTGGTAGTTATTCTCGGGACAGATAGGGGATATAATGTAGTTTTGAAGCAGGAAAGGTTGCTGAGACGCAGAGAGACTAGTCCTGGTGTTAGACTGACTCAGCAGTCTTCAGCATCATTTGTTTGTTTCTCTACCTTCTACACGCGTGCTTCTTACATTTCTAGACCATTAAATGTAGTCACTAAGATTGATGGTGTATTGATGGTAGTATCCACTTCCAATAAAAATGTTTGTTTAATCCACAAAGCACAATGACTGGAAGGAACTTCTGATAAGTGTGTAATTAAACTGTCTGCACTTGCTCTCTCTCTTCTACCAGTTGCCGAGCAGCTTGTTAATATGTCTAATGTGGAAGGCTCAGCCTAGGAAAAATCCTCTACCTTAGAGTGAGAATCGATTTTATGTTTACTGAAACGTGTCCTCTATCTAAAACTGTCTAGATTCTTTAAAAAAAAAAACAAAAACAAATAAACCATATGAGAGCAATAATACTGTATAAGTGACGATTGGAGAATGTTTAACATTATCCTCTACCTATTTTCTTCAATTGATTCTGACTGGTGAACATAGCTCCATCTACAGTTGTCATGGAAAGATGAAGCTGAAGGAAGATGAAGGAAGATGAAGGCAGCAACCTGCTGCCAAACTGTCTGACAAAGGTAAGATCATTTTAAAGATGAATCTGCTGCCCCCTTGTGTTCTCACACAGTATTGTCCACCTCGTCTTCTGTAAACATTTTCCTCTGTGGTGTCCTCCTTTTATTTCACCAGTAGGGGTGCACTATGGACAGTTAGCCAGTCCATCGTAAGGCAACACATAAAAACACTTACTTTCATATCTATGTACAATTTAGAGTATTCGAAGAGGAGAGAAGAGGCGAGGACAGAAAGAAAAAAAGTGGAGCAGAAAGAAAGACACACGTTTTTTATTATTTAGAGCGGAACATAGAAGTGTCTGTTGCAGTTGCAGAGGGACAGTGGGACTGCAGTCCGGCATATATTAGGGCTCGTGTGGGAACTACATGTTCTAATTATGCTGGGGCATTTAACATCAATAACATCTGCTCGTTGTGTGAGAGACTTTTGCGCTGCTCTCAGTCAAACTAAGAGGTTTATAAGCTTTCGGCCGGACGAAAGTCTTCGCAGATTTATTACACAGAACACGGAGACGGTCGGAGAGCAGAGTCTCACACCTGAAATCAAACTCAGACTTTTTACCCCAAACTGCAGGTTTTGGCGAGAAAAGCCAGAACTCTGGCCTTTTGCTGACCCCTACTGGGCCATATACTGGCCTGGAGGACAGGCTCTGTCCAGGTATGATGTCAAAGATCCATTGTCCCATCTGCTGAGGTACTCGGTTTGAATGTAATATAAATATGAATGCATGTTTGCCATACCCCGGTGTTTATTCAGGAACATGTTTCCTCTATGAGACACACCATGTCTTCTCAACTCTCTTTTATCCCGAACGTGGGAAAAAAATATTTGTCTCCAAATCCTAAGACTCTACTAACATGACATGGTCTTTCACTGAGTCATAGAGGTATTAGATGGTATACCTAAAAACACGCAGCTCTGTTGCCTAGTTTATGTGTGTTGTCTAGAAGTTTTGTAAATGTCTTTGGTGCATTTTAGCACATTTTACAGAAACTTAACACTAACTGTGTGCATATCTGTGTCCTACCTATCTGTGTGCATAGTATATGTATAAATATATATGTGTGTGTGTGTGTGTATGCATATTTATAACCTATATACTGTGTATAAATATATTACTAATATCTATATTATCTAATATTCTATTCTATGTGTATAGTAGCTCTTAGTAATAATAGTTGTATAAATCTGGTCGACATCATACACTAATATATCTGCTGCCTACATACTGTAGCTGACTGTTTATCTAATTTAATTCTTTAATTACTCAACTACTTATACTGTTCATATATTTTTTAACTATTATACACCTGTTCAAGGTATATAATATATACCATTGTTATGTATAAGTATGTGAATATATAACAATAGTTAACAATGGTATAATTGAAATATAATAATAATTACTTATAATAATAATTACTAATTGTTTTTACTTTTGTTTTGGTGCTGTACCACTGTTGCAGCCTAAATTTCCAGAAGGGAACTCCCGAGGGATTAATAAAGTGCTATCTATCTATCAAACTGTTTCCATTATAGAGTCTTAGGCCATCTCTTCTTGTGCCAGTATTCAGTGTTACATATTTGTACATTGAGTTATAGTTATGAGTTATTGATTTTAATTTGCAATGTTGTACAACCCTGCTGTGGAAATCACAGTGGCCAGTGGAGACGAGAATTAAATAGTTAAGACACAGAAGTTTTACAGGACATAAGAAATCTGTAGAAGTGGTCTCTGTCTAACAAGGAGACATAAGGGAATACTCATGGCTCTGCTATGCAGTGAGAAAGAGAACGCTTGGCGAGATCTGGGTGGGAGGAAGAACAGAGTTAACAGTGATTGATATACTTTAGGTCAGGGTTCAAGGGTGTACATGCAGGGGGGAAAGGGTTTTGTGCTTTCAGGGTGTTGTATAGAGAGATTTTGCTTTTTACAACCCTTCTTCAGTGCATATTATTTAGAACCACAGTTGTGACATTGAAGTTGAGTTACAGCCAGGCGTATACAAATAATTACAACAATTCACAAAGCGTTTAATAAAGTAGGAAGTGTTTCACAGTTGAGTCTAACAGAAATGTAAATCATGTGAATTGATGCAGATACTTTGTTTCTGTTTTAGGTTTCTTTTGGATAATCCTGGAGTCTGTCAAGGTAAAAAGGTCCTGGATTTGGGAAGTGGCTGTGGGGCATCAGCAATCGCAGCCAAACTCTCAGGAGCTGCTCATGTTGTTGCAAATGACATTGACACAGGTTTGCATAACTTTATATGTTCCTCCTTCCTTCTTATATCTACATTGTGATGTTGCTTTAACACCAACCATTATGTCTTTCAAAATCTCTTCTGAGGTCTTCCTCTTCTCCTGTTTCCCGGCTACTCAACCATCTCCAAACTGCTCCATCCTAAGTGTCCCTTTGATCTACTCATTTCTAATCCTGTCCATCGTGGACTCATCATCTTCGACCTCCAACATTTTGTCTATTAAACAGAGCAACTGTCTCTAAACAAAACATCATAGCAGGTCTCACTACTGTCTTATAAACATTCACTTTCAAAGGTTTGCATAACTTCATATAGATGTCATATTTTACATTTAATCAGGACTTTGTTATAACTTATAGATATTGAAGGAGATGGATGCCAAAGGAGACGTGGCCAATATAGAGGCAGCTCAATGACAATAGTTTAATAGTGCAATTTAAACACCATGGAAAATACTTGTGGATATTCTCAGTCGTCCAGGTCTTCATAATAATCTCAAAAGCAGTTTTTAATGTAGGCAACTGGACCCACCTCAAGTAACCACAACCACAACTGTTCAGGGGGGAGGACCGAACCTTTGATGATCAAAAGGTGCGCATTCTAACCAGAGAGGACAGATGGTTTGAGAGACGGGTGAAGGAAGCCATCCATGTCAAATTAAAAAGACCATCTTTGAATAAAGAAAGGGGCCTCAGACACTGAGGCCCCTTCCTTGTAGGTGGTTGACTTATCACCCACCTACAATGCCTTAGTTCTCTCCCCAGGAAGTACAGACGTAATTCACACCTTGATTCATGTAACACCAACGACCCCCACCCAGGGGGCAGGGAGGTGAAACAACTCACATTACCATTTAACTGTCATATTATTCGGGCCCATGGCCACCTTCCTCGACACTGCACCTCCCCTTTGGGTAGATAGCTGGAAACTCCCCACCAGGACAGTACTGGTGATGTCTGTTTAACTTAGTTGAGATAAGTCCAGTTGCCTTCTTTAAAAACTGCTTTTGAGAACATGGAAATGTTCCTAATCGATCAAATTGAGCACCTACAAGCAGAAACTGCAAAGATTTCAAAGAAGTCAGACAGTGGAATCCTTTTCTAACCTCTACCCCTCCCCCAGCATACTCTGGTGCTGTGGGGTTTTTTTTTTAAAGGACAGTGAACTCCTTGTCCATGTGACATTGTGACACACACCACTGCACACAAAGAAATGTGACCTCTGCATTTAACCCATCCCCAAAGTGAACAGTGGGCAGCAGTGTGTGGGGACGGTGCCATGCTCAGAGCACCTTAGTGGTAACTTGGCAGCTGGTGGATTCGAACCTGCAACCAAGTCCGCTTCCTTAACCACTAAGCCACCACTGCCCCAGCGTTGAAAAGTTAAAAAATAATTCGCTATAGTTCTAACTGTACTTTACTGTCAGTTGCAGCAGTTGTGACCCACATCAACAGTGAACTGAATGGCCTGGAGCCACCCATCTGTGTGACTGAAAACATGATTGATTCAGAGCCAGAGGACTTTGACTTAATCCTTCTGGGTGACATGTTCTATGACGAGGTCCTTGCCACAACACTTCATAGCTGGTTGGATCGCTGCATCAAAGCCCACAACACTGAAGTCCTGATTGGAGATCCTGGAAGGGCCCAGCTTGAGGGACACGACATCAGACGGCATCTGAATCAGCGAGCGAAGTTTGAGCTGCCCGCGTCGGTCAGGGAGGAAAATTATGGTCTGACCTGCTGCAGTGTCTGGTCCTATCATCCTGAACTCTGACAACAGAAGGAACACCTATTGGTGCTTTTAATAAATCCCTTTATGTGTACACAGTGTCTTAGGTTCGATTACCAGGTTTCACTGGATATTTGTATTGCACACTTACCAATGACAGGAAAGTCTGGTAAATATCATATACACATTTCACTAATCAGAGATTCTTCTATAGTCCTGATTTCAAAAAAGGGAAAAGTCTAAATATTATAAATGACCTACAACCGACTCAGGCTGATTCCAGAAACAAGTCACAGTTGGGCAGTAAGGCAATCGCTGTGGCAGTATTCCCCATTACTCTCCATTGTTAATCCAGGTGGCAGCAAAATGCCTCTTATTTTTGCAGTTAGCTGTTGTTTCACAATTTGCACAGCTCACTTTAACAATATCATCATCAACTCTAAAACCCATTTATATTATCAAGATAACATTTAATATCATAAATCCCTTATTTCTCCTTATTTGTCACACAATGGGGACATTCACAGTGTGAGTCTTCCACAGCAACCAACACAAGCAGCCATAGTCTGAATAGCATGTGAAGCTATGTGTGACAACATTTAATAGCTTAGCTTGTGAGAAAAGTTGATTAATACAATAACATTTTCTTCACTAATCTTCACTCTTTTATGTCTGGATGAAATGACCTCCAATCAGCTTCCACCACACTTGCATAAATTTAGATTTCAACAAAGGAATGCAATTTTGTTTTAAACAAACAGAGTCAAGGTGGGATATTGTAAAACAGAATCCAATGAAATTAGGTTTAATCATGACATTCAAAATTACAGTGGTATTGTTACAGAGGATATGCCAAATACTATTTGGTCAACCTAAAATCTAACTGTAAACACTGTACTTAAAGCAGAAAGTCAACATTATAACTTAATTTTGATTAATCCCAACAGTCTAGGAAATATAAAGAGTACTTGGCTAGAGGTTTAAGGATGGGAGTTTAGTGAGCAGTGGGAACCCGCCTCAACCCTGTCACATTGACTTCTGTAATCCCATTGTCGTGGAAAAATTCTTCTGTTCCACTGGTTCTTTAACTACATATCACTTTAGAAGGAAATCTTATCTGTAATAAACTTCTTGAGTCGTGGAAAGGTTACAAAGTTTTATTCTGCAGAGAAAAGAAAGCTGAGACGTCGTCGTTGAGCAGGTCCCTCGAAGATCTTCTCTGGACACATTTTGCATAAGTTTTTATACCCTTGATGCGTCCTGTTTTCTACAGGTCCTGTTTTCTGCGAATTAGACATCTGGCATGCATACTTAGAAATTTGCAGGTTTCGATAGAAACAGAATATATGTAAATTTAGACATTGAAGTAGAGCGCCCATGATAGATTCGCAGAAGGCAGGACGTGCAGTCTCTTCTCTGAACAGCACCAGCAGAGCACATTTGATTTTGCAGCTGTCAGCAGATACGTGCAGTTTCACAAGCAGTTTCCTGTTGCAGTCACATACATTTATCATAAGCATACAACATTATAAACTTTATCATTAATTTTACCATTACACCATTGTAACACCTCGCAGTAAAAATGGTGTTTTGGCAAATTTGTCAGCAGTCACCTTGGAATAAGCCCCAGGGCGCAGGTCTTACACAGACCCAAACGCTTGTCTGTACGACAGCGCCTGTTGCAATGTAGTGCAAGTTTCATTTTTAGTGTGCTTGATAGATTTGTGTGTGCGTACCATAATATGAGTGCAAATTGACCTTTGTACAATCGCCACCTGTGAGATTATCTGGCCAACAGAAACTCAGAAACAGGGAGTATTTGGATACAATTGTCAAGGTCTTACAGGAACCGAAGAAAAGATAATGAATATTCCCATCACTGGCTAGCACATGTAAGGTCAGGCTGGTCGTTTCAGTGTTTTTCCACTGACTACGTGAAAGTTTCAGTACAAGTCAAATAGTGGATGATAGCACAGTAATACATTTTGATTTTTTGACAAAATCATTAAAGTGATACAAACAGCTTAATATCAGAGGATTTTGAGCAAACAGATCCCTCAACAATAAAACAGTCCATAAAAATTAAACCATTAATACACAAAATACAAGATAAAAAATATAAAAGTAGTATAAAAAACATGCAAATATGCCTGCAATGCAGAGGAAAATCATAAAATGACAATATGTCATATGTGTGGAACTTTGCCCAAAACGTTGAAGCAAATATGTTGAAAAGTAAAAAAATATTGCTTAAAATCACAGTATAAAGAAGGTAAACAGTGTTATTAAAGTTATGTATTTGATAGCTGTGCTGTCTTCATGTACTTGTTTGATGAAACATCTGGACGACGAGCACACAGTGCATTGTTCATTTTTCCATGGTGAATACTTGATCTGTGAAAAGAAAGAAAGTTTCAATTACTCTACTCAATTAAAATAAGACAAGCTGGGGAAAAAAAATGCGAAGGGAAAGTTGGTCTGTGTTGTGGCCCTCTGCCACCCCGGATTCGTTGATCGATCTCAAACGGTATTTACTAAGAACTTTCATAAAGTACAAAGAAAAGATAAAAGTTGTTGCTCGAGTTCGCCTGTGCACAGGGAGGATCCAACGGAGAGTCAGAAGACTAACTGCTGAATTCTGCCCCTTCACAAGATCAGGCTCTTTTTATTAGCAGACCCTCGCCCAAAATACACAGATGTTGCACGTCAGATTGACATCCTGTTTGTTACCATATTTGATAAACGATCTTATTGTTCTTTGTTTTCCACGCTCACACTGGCTTCAACTCAGGACCTGGTTATTGTCACGTACACCTCCTGAGCTTCTGCCACAAGGTCAAGGCCTATCCTGTCGCATCAGATGTTTCACTACACAACCTGAGTTTAACTTAATTCCTGTTTCAGAGTGTCTGTGTATTTTATATTGCAGGATCCAAGCAGCATGCTTATATTTTAGTCAGGTTATATGTTTTAGCGCATCTCTTATGATCTTTTAAAACATGATTATATATGTTGCATACGTCTATAAAATATGAACCCATGAATACATTTCATCCACATCTGTCAGTCATGTCTGAGGGTATCCACTGATAGAACTCACTGAGATGATGAATTAACAACCTTAAGATTAAGAGTTTGCTCTACTATACTTTTATCCTGATCAGTTCTGGACTCATTTGAAATACATTACTAGTTTGGATACATACTCAATTAAAGCATGTAATGGATGTAATATTAGTTCTCTGAACAGTAAGTACGATGTTCCAAACTATACAGGTTAAATCCAAATGTACACTATCTAAATTGTTTTGCAACACTATTTTTAGACAGAGCTGACCTTTAAAGTAAAGAAAATACACTTTGTTCCTTTGGGGGATATTTGGAAATGGTGTATCATTACAGGCTCTGTGATGTGACAATTAAAAAAGCCAATCAAGTTGGTCAAATTTGCCTTGTTTGATTTTTACCAAAATGATTAGTTTGCCATCTCACACGATACTCACAAATTATTATTATATAATATTACATGATTATATTATATATTCTATTTATTCTATTATTATGTTATATTATATAAACCTCACATATGTATTACTACTTATATACTACTTACATATTTATTAACACTATCAAAGCCAATACTCACAAATACAAAATAGATTTATATATCAAAGCCCAAAATTTGGGTTATAAGCTAAGGAGAAGTTAATGTATTCAAAATAGTTTTGTCAGAGAAATGTTGATTGCAAACAAGTTGCTGATTAATGTACCTTTACCATTGGTATAATTGAGATTCATTTCATTTCATTGATAATTCTAGTTAGTAAAAAAAAACCCTCCTGATTTCAATGTATGTTTCTTCATAACATTTAGGGCCAGACCGTAAAAGTTACCTGGAATGTTGTCAGTAGCCTCCTCTCTTCTTGTTTGGAAGTCGAAGCCGTTTCTGTGTTTCGTGTCCCCCGTTTTCTGCGATCCATTGTAACAATATGGGTTTTGACCATCTCGTTGCCTTTTTGCCCCTTACGGTCAAGTATTTGTCTGGAGGGACAAATGACATCTTCTTTTGCTTCTTTTCTTCAGGTTTCATTGGTGCTTTGTGATTTGGTGCTTTTTTAACATTGGTTGGTATAAAATCTTTTCTCCATCTATCCTGAACCTTTTCTTTGGCTGAATATTTAGCAGGAGAAACACTAGAGGTCGTCGTCTTGGGGGGACTGAGATTGACAGTAAGAGACTCAGGAGGCAGAAACCTATTATTACAAAATGACTTTTCTTTCTGTGAACCATAAAGCATAAGCATAATTTCCAAGCCAGATGCTTTTTTTGTTGAATCGTCCTTGCATTCCAATTGTGGGATGACAGACTTTGTATCTCTGCGTATTGTGGATTTCTTTGAAAAAGGAGACATTTCATCACTATTTGTTGCCTTTCGCTTTATCACAGGGCTTTGTCCTTGAAAACTGATTGTTACCTTGAGGTCAGAAGTAATACTTCCCATATCTGAAGGTTCTAATATATCTTTTGGGCGATTGGCTTCCCCCTCCTTCTCCAGCCTTTCAAGGTCACAGCTGGGAATGCTTTGCAGTTCTTCAGAACTTGTGGCTGAAATTTCTGAGTCATCTTTTTTTACTGATTCTTGTTGTTCCTGCACACACTCTTCATTAATGCAAGGGCTGGGGATCTGCTTAAAATCACTAGGACAGTCTGAGATGTCATCTGCAGTTTTTGTCACATCTGCGATGCTTGGCCGGTTTTCTTCTTCATTGCCATTAGAGCAGGTCTTTGGCTCCTCGGAGGAGTGTGGGAAGGGGTTCTCATCATCTTGAGTTTTCTGATCACAGATTTCGTTGGCTGGACTAGTACAATGCTGTATCTCATTATTACTACTGACATTATTTAAAGCATTTAACTCATTGTCTGTCACAGAAGAAGAGGGTTCACTGTCATGCAGACTTGGTTTTGAGTTTATATCGTCTGTCTTCTCTTCTCTATCAACGGTTGTTTCATTTTTCACCGTCTGACTTAGCTCTTTCTTGCAGTTGCATTTCTCTATCATTTTTGACCCACATACTTTTTCTAACCATGCTATAAGGCAGCAAAGCCCTTGTGCTTTGGAAACAGTTTTCTGTTTTGGTTTTGTTACTTTGACAATGTCATCGTTACATATTTCATCCTGCACAGAAGTGTCTGATTTCTCTTCCTCTACAGATGCTTTCTCTACCGTCTCTCCCAGACTCTCATTTGTAATTGGAGCCTTACTATAGACTAACTCGGCGATAGCTTTAGCCTCACTAGGGGGCAAAACTTTGATTTCAAAAGAGTAATACGGATCACTTGGTTCAACAGCATCTGTGTCATCAGCACGGGGTGAAGGTGTCGATGTAGTTGTCACATCAGAGTCTTGTTTTCCTTCCACAAGGTCGATATGTCTTGGCTGTGTCTGCTCAAACTCTTTGTCAAAATCCTCACTGCTGTTTGTCCCATCCATTACATCCAACTTGGTGTCACTCTCCTTTAGGACGAATTGACACCTTAATGAATATGGATAGCCAAACTCCTTATCAATGTCATCTAAATTCTCATTAATGTTTAACCACGATGAGGTGTACGGTGGTTCTCTGTAGACATCACCATCTTTGAGAACTTGAACATTTTGGATTTGATTCATCTGACTTTGTTCCAGTTCTGTTAGTATTACCTGGCCTGCTGTTAACTCTTTCTTACAGAAGATGTAAGGAAGAAGAAACAGTTTTGTGTAACAAGCTGACTTGAGCTCACCCAAAACTGTATTAACATCGTAAAGCCTAGTGATCTTTTGAACTGTACTTGCGCACGAATCATTATTTTGCTCTTGTACATCTGCCTGTTGTTTCTCATACTTCTGAATCAAGTCCTTTAAGTTGTCGAGTGTCCATGGATGTTTTTGTGCTGAGGACAGGTCAGGTGCACTGGCCTTGCGCCCTGTTGCCAAGTCACTTTTTGGTGTGTCACTGTTCAGTTCTGTTCTTTCTGACACGTGAGACATTTGTGATGTTTGACTGTCAGCTACATTAGCCAGATGGATTTGAGAGTCTTGAGGCCCGGGTGATTTTAAGGTAGAC